GTAGAGGGTAGAAGTTATGGAGGGGGGGAGTGTTTTTTGGGTAAGGAGGGTAGGAGTGTATGGAGGGAGTGGGAGTGTTTGTGGTAATTGTGAGGAGTGTGTGGGGAGTGGGAGTGTTTGTGGAGTAAGGAGGGAGGAAGTGTAGGGGGGGAGTGGGAGTGTTTGTGGAGTAGGAGGGAAGGGAAATGTTTTGGGGGATGGGAGTGTTTGTGGAGTAAAGGGGGGAGGAAGTGTATGGGGGAGTGAGAGTGTTTGTGGAGTAAGGAGGGTGGAAGTGTAGAGGGGTGGGAGTTTTGTGGAGTAAGGAGAGGTAGGAGTTTTGGAGGGAGTGGAGGGGGGAAGAGGGAGGGAGTGGGTGATAAGATGGAATTAAGGGGGAGGTTGGGATTTGAAGGGGATGAAGGAATGAGGGGGGAGAGGAGGAGGTGGTAGGGGGATTTGGGGGGGGGAAGAAGGGAAGAATTTTGATGAAAGGAGGAGGGAAAAAGAGGAAAGGAGAAGATGGGGTGGGAAAAGAAGAGAAGAAAAGAGAAAGGGGGGGGGGAAGGAGGAAGGAAAGTGAGGTTGGAGATAAGAGAAAAATAAATTTGAAATGGGGAAGTTTTATAAGAAGTAAATGAGGGGATTTGAAGTAAAATATTGAAATTTGTTAAAAAAAGGAAAAAGGTAAAAAAGTTAAAAAGGATGAATTTTTGGAAAAAGATGGTGGAATGGTAGGAGGGAGGGAGAGTTTGGGAAGAAGGAAGAGGAAAGGATGGAAAGAGGGAGAGGTGAAGGAAGAAAGGAGGAAGTGAAGGGGGGAGAGAGGTTGGAATAAGGAATAGAAAAGGGGGGGGAGAGTTTGTAGTAAGAAAGGGAAGAGTGATGAAGGGGGTAAAGGGTTGACAGTAACAGGAAGAATTTTTAGGGAAGGGAAAAAAGGGAAAATTAGGGGAAGTTAAAAACAGAAGAGAAGGTAAAGAAAGGGAGGGAGTTTTTTTAAAAAAAAGGAGGAATATGGGGGAGGGGAAAAAGGAAAGGAAGAAAAGTTTTGGGGAAAAAAAAAGAATTTGGGGGAAGTAAAATGGAAAAATAAGGGGGAAAAAAAAAGTTTTTTGGGGAGTAAAAAAAAGAGAAATTTAGGGAAAATAAAAGAAAAAATTTGGGAATCAATAAAAAGAAAATTAGGGGAATTAACAAAAACGAAAAAGGGGGGAAAAAAAAAAATTAGGGAAAACAACAAGAAAAATTTTGATAGTAACCAAAGACAAAGGGAGAAAACAAAGAAATTTTAGGGAAAGTAAAAAAAGCAGAAAAGGGGAAGAACAAAAAGCGAAATGAGGTGAAAAAACAAGAGCAAAAGGGGAATAAAAAAAGAAATAGGGAATAAACAAAGAGAAATTAGGAGTAAAATAAAGAAAAATTTGGGGAAATTTTTCCCAACAAAAGAAAATAAGGGAAAGCAAAAGAACAAAGCAGACAAAAATCAGAAATATTGGAGGCTCAACAAAAGAACATATAGGGGAAAGAAAAAAGCCAGGGGAGTAAAAAAAGAAAATAAGGGGCCCGGGAGAACAAAAGAGGAAAAGGAATAACAAAGAAGAAAGGGGAGAAAAATTAGAAAATAGGAAGAAAAAAGAAATTTAGGAAAAGTACAAACAAACAGCAATATTGGGGGAATAACAACAACAGAAAATATTAGGGGAAGTAAAAAACAACAGCAGCAATATTGGGGAGTAAACAACAACAGAAACAATATTAGGGGAATGACAACAACAGCAAATTATTAGGGGAAGTAACAACAACAGAAACAATATTGGGGGAAGTAACAAAAAACAGAATATTAGGGGAAGTAACAACAACAGCAACAATATTAGGGGAAGTAACAACAACAGAAATATTAGGGGAAGTAACAACAACAAAACAATATTAGGGGCATAACAACAAACAGAAAATATTAGGGGAAGTAACAACAACAGCAGCAATATAGGGGAAATAACAACAACAGCGAAATATTAGGGAATAACAAACAGAAAATATTAGGGAAGTAACAAAAAACAGCAGCAATATTAGGGGAGTAAAAACAAAGCACAATATTAGGGGAAGTAACAACAACAGCAGCAATATTAGGGGCAGTAAAAACAAAGCAGCAATAATTAGGGGCAGTAACAACAACAGCAACAATATTAGGGCATAACAACAACAGCAGCATATTAGGGCAGTAACAACAACAGCAGCAATATTAGGGGAAAGTAAACAACAACAGAAACAATATTAGGGAAGTAACAACAACAGCAGCAATATTAGGGCAGTAACAACAACAGCAGCAATATTAGGGGCAGTAACAACAACAGCAGCAATATTAGGGGCAGTAACAACAACAGCAGCAATATTAGGGAAGTAACAAAAAACATGCAGCATATTAGGGGAAGTAACAAAAACAGCAGCAATATTAGGGGAAGTACAAACACAGCAGCAATTTAGGGAGAAACAAAAGCGGCAGTAAACAACAACAGCAGCAATATTAGGGAAGTAACAACAACAGCAACAATATTAGGGGCAGTAACAACACAGCAGAAAATATTAGGGAAGTAACAACAACAGCAACAATATTAGGGGCAGTAACAACAACAGCAGCAATATTAGGGGCAGTAACAACAACAGCAGCAATATTAGGGGCAGTAACAACAACAGCAGCAATATTAGGGGCAGTAACAACAACAGCAGCAATATTAGGGGAAGTAACAACAACAGCAACAATATTAGGGGCAGTGAAAACAACAAGCAGAATTAGGGGCGTAACAACAACAGCAGCAATATTAGGGGAAGTAACAACAACAGCAGCAATATTAGGGGCAGTAACAACAACAGCAGCAATATTAGGGGCAGTAACAACAACAGCAAAATATTAGGGGAAGTAACAACAACACAGCAATATTAGGGCAGTACAACAACAGCACAATATTAGGGCAGTATAACAACAACAGCAGCAATATTAGGGCAGTAACAACAACAGCGCAATATTAGGGGAGTGAAACACAACAGCAGCATTTGGGGGGCAGTAACAACACAGCAGCAATATTAGGGGAAGTAACAACAACAGCAAAAATATTAGGGGATTTAAAACAACAGCAGCAATATTAGGGGAAGTAACAACAACAGCAGCAATATTAGGGGAAGTAACAACAACAGCAGCAATATTAGGGGAAGTAACAACAACAGCAGCAATATTAGGGGAAGTGACAACAACAGCAAAAATTTTTGGGGAGTAACAACAACAGCAGCAATATTAGGGGAATAACAACAACAGCAGAATATTAGGGGAGTAACAAAAAACAGCAGCAATATTAGGGGAGTAACAACAACAGCAGCAATATTATGGGAAGTACAACAACAGAAACAATATTAGGGAAGTAAAAACCCAGCGCAATATTGGGGGAAGTAACAACAACAGCAAAATATTAGGGGAAGTAACAACAACAGAAACAATATTAGGGAGTAACAACAACAGCAGCAAATTAGGGAATAACAACAACAGCAGCAATATTAGGGGAGTACAACAACAGCACAATATTAGGGGAAGTAACAACAACAGCAGCAATATTAGGGGAGTACAACAACACACAATATTAGGGAAGTAAACAACAGCAAAATATTAGGGGAAGTAACAACAACAGCAGCAATATTGGGGGAGTAAACAACAAAAAACAAGCAATATTAGGGGATAACAACAACAGCAGCAATATTAGGGGAAAGAACAACAACAGCAGTAATTAGGGGCAAGTAACAACAACAGCAGAAATATTAGGGGAAGTAACAAACAGCAGCAATATTATGGGAAGTGAACAACAACAGCACAAATTAGGGGAAGTGAACAACAACAGCACAATATTAGGGGCAGAAAACAACAACAGCAGCAATATTAGGGGAAGTACAACAACAGCAGCAATTTTAGGGAAGTAACAACAACAGCACAATATTAGGGGAAGTAAACCAACAGCAGCAATATTAGGGGCAGTAACAACAACACAAGCAATATTAGGGAAGTAACAACAACAGCAACAATATTAGGGGCAGTAACAACAACAGCAACAATATTAGGGGCAGTAACAACAACAGCAGCAATATTAGGGGAAGTAACAACAACAGCAACAATATTAGGGGAAGTAACAACAACAGCAGCAATATTAGGGAAGTACAACAACAGCAAAATATTAGGGGAAGTAAAAACAACAGCAGAAATATTAGGGAATACAACAACAGAAACAATATTAGGGGAGTGAACAACAACAGCAAAAATATTAGGGGAAGTACAACAACGCAGCAATATTAGGGCAGTAACAACAACAGAAACAATATGGGCAGTAAACAACAAACATAGGCAGTAAAAAGAAAAATATTAGGGGAAGTAAACAACAGCAACAATATTAGGGGAAGTACAACAACAGCAACAATATTAGGGCAGTAACAAACAACAGCAGCAATATTAGGGGAAGTGACAACAACAGCAGCAATATTAGGGGCAGTAACAACAACAGCAGCAATATTAGGGGCAGTAACAACAACAGCAGCAATATTAGGGGAAGTAACAACAACAGCAGCAATATTAGGGGCAGTAACAACAACAGCAGCAATATAGGGAGTAACAACACAGACAATTTTTTAGGGGCAGTAACAAAAAAACAGCACAATATTAGGGGAAGTAACAACACGGGAGCAATTTTAGGGGCAGTAACAACAACAGCACAATATTGGGGGAAGTAACAACAGCAACAATATTAGGGCAGTAAAACAACAGCAGCAATATTAGGGGAAGTAACAACAACAGCAGCAATATTAGGGGCAGTAACAACAACAGCAGCAATATTAGGGGTAGTAACAACAGCAGTAGCAATATTAGGGGCAGTAACAACAACAGCAGCAATATTAGGGGAAGTGACAACAACAGCAGCAATATTAGGGCAGTAACAACAACAGCAGCAATATTAGGGGTAGTAACAACAGCAGTAGCAATATTAAACGGTGAAGGCGGCAAAGCGTGCAAGCGAGAGGTCGGGCGATGACAGTGGGAAGGTGGCGACAGTGGGCGGGTGGGCGGCGACTGTGGGCGGGTGGGCGGCGACAGTGGGCTGGTGGGCGGCGACAGGCGAAGGGGAATCAATACGTTGGGCGGATGTTGCAACGCGGGCGTGTTGCACTGCATTCACCATCTACCACGTTAATCAACTCCTGACCACAAGACGGACGTTTCGCTCAAGGAGAGCGAAATGTTGTCTTAATGGCTCGTTGCGTACTCTAACTGGGAGATTTCTGCCTTTCAGTTATAAGAAGATGAAGCAGTAGCCGCTTAATTCATGGGAATAAAACAGCGTATGCCTTTATTATAACGATGTTTCGCCCAGGGGAAGCTTTATTGAGTTGCATCATGAAGTTAACATTAAGCGAAACGTCTTTGGAATTGTCTTGAGTGTTTCATGTCTTGTTATGAATTAAACACGTGTGCCACATCTGGGTATCTTTATTTGTGAGCGAAACGTCTACAAAAAGATACCCAGGTGTTGCACATGTGTGTAATTCTTCATCTTCTCTTAAGTTCTTGGCATCTGTCTTAGGTCCGTAGCACCTGTCTTAGGTTCGTAGCACTTGTGTTAGGTTCGTGGCACGTGTCTTAGGTCCGTAGCACCTATCTTAGGCCCGTTGCACCTGTCTTAGGTCCGTAGCACCTGTCTTAGTTCCGTAGCACCTGTCTTAGGTCCGTTGCACCTGTCTTAGGTTCGTAGCATTTGTGTTAGGTTCGTGACACCTGTCTTAAATACGTAGCACCTGTCTTAGGCCCGTTGCACCTGTCTTAGGTCCGTAGCACCTGTCTTAGGTCCGTAGCACCTGTCTTAGGTCCGTTTCACCTGTCTTAGGTTCGTAGCATTTGTGTTAGGTTCGTGGCACCTGTCTTAGATACGTAGCACCTATCTTAGGCCCGTTGCACCTGTCTTAGGTCCGTTGCACCTGTCTTAGGTCCGTTGCACCTGTCTTAGGCCCGTAGCACCTGTCTTTGGCCCGTAGCACCTGTCTTAGGCCCGTAGCACCTGTCTTAGGCCCGTAGCACCTATCTCAGGTTCGTTACCCGGACTTGACCGCACTAAATCGCTGAGAGTAAAATCCGTAAGCGAGTCACGTCAGGCGGAGATTATTCGTACCCCGGTGACCATTTTACTTCAGATTACAAACTTTCCTCCGAAGTTTGATATCGGTGATCTGAGGGGGTTAAAAACCCCTCCCCCTTTCATTTTTTAAGATTGAATACATCAGCAGTGTGCTGCTATCTTATAAACCCACGGTTTAATTATTTCCGGCTTGTAATCTTGTTTGAAAACGTCAAGTGCACCGGTAGTTTTATTTTTAAGACGTAAGTTTTAGACGTAGAGGGAACTTAAAGTTGGTGGTGGAGATGGGGAAAGAGGAGAGGCAGAGGAGATACGGGGAAGAGGAGAAGTAGAGGAGATACGAGGAAGAGAAGTAGAGGAGATAAGGAGAGAGGAGGGGTAGATGAGATACGGGGTGAGGAAGAGGAATTTTGGATGAAGAGGGGGAATAGAAATTAGGATATCAGGTTTAATAAGCATTTAAGAGGAAGATGATGATGTAAGAGTAGAGAGAGAGAGAGAGAGAGAGAGAGAGAGATGGAGGTGAGAGATGAAGAGATGGAGATGAGAGAAAGCGAAAGAGGCTGTGTGCCAGACAGTTTCTAAGGGTTTATGGTCTTGACTTCTGTGTTATTATTTCAAATGAAGTTGTTCCAGCGCCTTGGACACAAGCCAAACACTTCTCTCCTTATACCCACACTTAACTCAACAATTTTCTTGTGAATTGAGAATAATGAAGAGGAGAGAGAAAGGAGTGAAGGGGTAGCAAGTAGGAAGAATATGATAGAGGAAGCAAGGAGGGGAGAGAGATGGAGTAGGAAGATTATAGGCTTATTTAATGTGGTTAGGTTAGTGTTCAACTTGTGTGTTTTATGAAGAATAAAAGTGTGTTAAGATAGGAAATATGAGGGGGAACTTGGAAGTGGGTGCGTGGGTAAGGTGTGTTGATGGGTGTGTTGTGATGATACAGGGGAAGGGCGTTTTGAAGGTAGTTGTGGTTGTGGGAGTGGTGGAGATGGTTGTGGGAGTGGTGGAGATGGTTGTGGAAGTGGTGGAGATGGTTGTGGAAGTGGTGGATATGGTTGTGGAAGTGAAGGTAGTGGTGGGAAGATGAACATGGAGACATAATCACATATACAGCTAATTCACTTTTAACATCTCTGGCTCTATGTTCCTTACCCTATAAAACTTGGTTATTCAGCTCCTTGTTTTTACATTTCAGTATTTGCATTTACGACTCTGCGCGGCTTGAAGTGACAGTATTATCACGATAACGTCCTGTCTATCCTCCTGTCTCCATTTCTCCATTGTTTTGCTCGTGTTGGTAAGACTATTTCCTAGTGAGTGACATGGATGGAAGTTGTGTGTAACTCTTAGACAGAGACGGAGTTCTGAAGAATGTAGAATTATATACAAAAGATGGGGTAATCAGTCCCTCAGCCTTGGAGTCGAAAAGCACCGTAGTCTTGTCGCTTCTATACTGGTGTAAAATGACGGACCTGTACGTATCTCATCTGACGCCAGTATATAAGCGACAGTGTTACTGCCTATGCTTCAGATTATTCAAGACTACAGTTCTCTTCACCAACTCCAAGGCTGATGGACTGATTACCTCACCTTTTGACGGAACATAGGATTGTGCCTGTTGCTCCTTGTACACATCTCTAAACAGAGCCAGCCCACTGAAATCTCACTGTGGATAGTCCAGTAGGTCCATTATAGTGCTCGACTCTCATGTGATTATTTTATCAGCCTTCTCGCCTCACACTGTCCAGGGCCACTATGTATACCTCAACCTTCTGGCCTCACCACACTGTCCAGGGCCACTATGTATACCTCAACCTTCTGGCCTCACCACACTGTCCAGGGCCACTATGTATACCTCAACCTTCTGGCCTCACCACACTGTCCAGGGCCACTATGTATACCTCAACCTTCTGGCCTCACCACACTGTCCAGGGCCACTATGTATACCTCAACCTTCTGGCCTCACCACACTGTCCAGGGCCACTATGTATACCTCAACCTTCTGGCCTCACCACACTGTCCAGGGCCACTATGTATACCTCAACCTTCTGGCCTCACCACACTGTCCAGGGCCACTATGTATACCTCAACCTTCTGGCCTCACCACACTGTCCAGGGCCACTATGTATACCTCAACCTTCTGGCCTCACCACACTGTCCAGGGCCACTATGTATTTCTCATCCTTCTGGCCTTACCACACTGTCCAGGGCCACTATGTATACCTCAACCTTCTGGCCTCACCACACTGTCCAGGGCCACTATGTATACCTCAACCTTCTGGCCTCACCACACTGTCCAGGGCCACTATGTATACCTCAACCTTCTGGCCTCACCACACTGTCCAGGGCCACTATGTATACCTCATCCTTCTGGCCTTACCACACTGTCCAGGGCCACTGTATATACAACGTTTGTGTGTACTCTGTGTAGACTTGAAGCTCTGTATTGGGCGAAACATGTAGTGCAAAGCGCTCGTTTTGCTGTGTGTAAATTCATAATACATTTTGTATGCTTGGTGTTTTCCATTTAGTAAGATATGATGTGCGCTTTATGGCATTTTATTGGTAGGACGTTTCGCCCACCAGGGACATCAATTATCACGGTAATTAGTTACGAAGTCCTTGGTAGACGAAACAGTCCTCGGTAAAATGGTATGAATCTCATACTGTATCTTATTAAAATACTTAACGGTATATATACTGCATATATATTGTATATACACGGTATTGTGTATTGTTCCAGTCACAATACCGTGGCTGGAACAATACACAAATAACCCGCACATGGGAGAGAGAAGCTTACCACGACGTTTCAGTCCCACTTGGACCATTAACAGTCACACTAACACGGAGTGAGAGAGCCATAGAGGGGATTTTCTATATACTCATTGTTCTCACTGGTCTGCTAGTTGTTAGCACTGGCTTGTCATCAGGTTCGAACCCCACCACGTATTATTTTCACGACATTAATAATATTTATTTATTACAAGGTATACAGACCATACCTGACATCAATAGTATAATACTATATGCTGAGCATTTACCGCAAATTAGGTCAATTTTGTCCCCAGGATGCCACCCACACCAGTCCACTAGCACCCAGGTACCTATTTTACTCATGGGTGAACGTAGACAACAGGTGTAAGGAAACACGTCCGATGTTTGCACCCCTTCGCCGGGATTCGAACCCGAACCCCTCACCGTGTGAAGCGAGAGCTTTTGCCACCAGGCCGCGGGGCAGTTCTCACTTCACGAAGTGACTCTTTTGCCTGAAGAGGTGACGAGCACATCCTTGGAAAGTTTCGACTGTGGTCGGAATGTCTATCGCAATTTTGCGGACTTTCGTAGTGCTGGTTTATTCCCCCAAATTCCCCAAGAGTGCACGTACTTTTATCAAGACAGCGATTGCAGGAGTACTGATGAATGATTTTCCCCCTCATTTTTTTGGTCCCCTTTCCCGCCAAAGTAGGGGGGCCCGGTCCCAAGGATGTTTCGGGGGGTCACCCCCCTCGGCCCGGTCCTATAACCGGGCCTTGGGGTTTTAAAACAAAAAAATAAAGATGGGGCTTGAAAATTTAAACAGGATTGACCATTGTTTTGAAAAATTGTTTTGGGAACAAAACTGCCAAAAAAAACGTTCACTCTTGTCATTTTTTTTTTCTTTTTTCCCCGGGTTTACTCTCCCGGTCCGGGTCTTTTTAAGTAGGGGTGCCCCGGTCTTGGGCCCCTTTAAACTGGGGGGTATCCGAGCCCTTTAAAGTCTCCCAGGGGGGAAAGGTACAATCCCCCCTCATCTTTGGGAAAAAGTGCCCCCGGCCCTTTGCCACAGCCCCCCCCTCAGGGGGCTCGGGGGAGAAGTAGTCATTCCCCCTTTTAAAAATTCTTTTTTACGCGTTTTACTTTGTTTTATTTTTTTAAAAGCAGCGATAGTTAAATGCTACTAATTAACATTTCACAAATTTTAACCCTTTTTTATCGTAGCTGGTAAAAAATCGCAATTAATTATGGGGGTTTTTTTTTAAATTAAAAATTTTTTTATCTGC